AAAAAAAAAAAAAAAAAAAAATCAAATGGCTGAGTAGGGATATTGAGGTGAAGTACAGTTGGGTGATGAGAAGTGCTAACTCAATGGCTGATGGGTTAGCCAAGCAAGGGGCGCTTAAGGATTCTATGTTTTGGGCTAATTTTTATCTTTCTTTTTTGTTCTCTGTTGTGGGGGAGTTAAGATATTTTACCTCCCCTTTCTTGTACTTAAAGCTTCACAATTTTTATTATCTAATAAAGCATCTTGTTATTGATCAAAAAAATAAATAAATAATCATGAAAAAATTCGTTCATACAATTGTACTTTATATATAAAACTTGTAATGTAGAAAAAAACCAAGGTTGTGTTGTTTGGATAAGCTTCAGGATTTGTGCTTTTAGAGCTTAAAAGCACAAGGCCTGAATTTATGTTTTGTTCTTTTTTTTGGGGGGGGGATAACTTTGGGACTTAAAAAGTGTTTTGGTTTTAAATTATTATGTTTTTAAAAGCAACTTATGGTCTTACCTACTCGAAACACTTTTTGGCTCATTTTTGTTTCCCACATCCCAAAATGCTCAAAAGCAGAAGCTTATCCAAACAGAGCCCAAGTCAGTTGAATAATGAATGCATACTAATAATTTACTGACATTACATAAGAGGTTAAATGTAAAAACCATTATAGAGAAACCTAACACTCCGAACCTAAACTGTATTAGGCATTCAATCTTTAGCCTCTTTTATCTTCCACACATGCTTATAATGAACAACCTAATTAGTATGTGTTTTATAGTCCTCATCAGTATGTATAAAGCTAAATTTGTTTTGCTGTTAAGTTATTAAATTAATAACATGAGATATGGGCATAATAGTAGTCTGAAACTGCACATGTTTACTTACCAAAAAAATGGTGCTCTCTCTCTCTCGGGGGGGAGACCTGTAAGAATGTAGATGTATAACTGATATGTATGTTTTTACATCGTTCATACCAAAAATTGTATTTGTATGTTTATGTATGCTTTATTTGTTAGTATGTTTATTTATGCTTCATTTGGTTGCACAAAGAATCTTCTCTGGAATTCTTTCTTTGGATTATCTGTAAGGGGGGTAAACTGATAAAAGTAACTACTTTCTTTTTTTTTCTTTTTTTCTTTTTTTTTTTTTTTTTGCTTTTTGTTATAAAAGAGAGATGGTCAGTACCGGATTGATTCTCAGGCCACTTCAACCATGCTAAATTGTCTCATGTACAAGCTCTCGTATTACAGGTTAGCCTGACATCATGGCACAGTTTTCTCCTTGCAATGTATTTATTGAATTTACATATATTCTTGTTGTCTTTGTTTGTCTAGATTTGTGGAGACAGATGGTAAAGGCTTTGACAGAGTGAGAAGGACTGAAATTGGGAAGAAATATTTCAAGCTTACCCATTTTGAGGAGGTCAGAGCATCTAACATTTGACAAATATGTCACATTCTAGTTACTAGCTGATCCACAATTTATTGTAGTTGTTTTTTATAATTTCTGTACCATGTATTTTGTTTTTGCTCTCTCTTGATGACTTGTCTAGGTATTGGATTTTTCTTTCCACAAAAGACCCCAACTACTTAATTACCTTCTCTCAGTGATGTTGCTATTAGTTAGATTTCATCTTGAACATGGATGACTTTAAATGATCATGTGGCATAGACCTGTCAGTAATTCTAAAATGCATCGACAATTTTGGATGCCTGTTTGGTTTTTTTTTTTTCTGGGTCGAAGTTTGGTAAATTTAAGGATGGGTTGTTCCACCTTTTTTGTGTCATTAACAGATCCCTAGAACTTTTATTAAGGCTCCATTTGGAAGGCAAATACAAATATGTAGAGCACAAAACATTGTATTTTGTATGTATTTGTATTCCTTCCAAATTGAGCCTAAACAGAAAAGGGAAGGCAAATACAAATATGTAGAGCACAAAACAAATTTAGTCCCCCTGTTCCCATCTTACAAAATCCCCAACAAACCCTGCTTGGGCAGGCCCTGAATACAATTCAGCCCAATCTACACCCACTTGTGAGTGAGTTGGCAAGTACATTATTAATTTCCTGATCCAATTGAATGAGGTATTCGAGTTTGTATGCAAAAAGCATCCCTACAGTTAAATTTCACATGCATTTTGTTATCTCAACTGTTTGATTTCCCAAATGTCTTCAATCTGGCTACATCAAGATAACCGAGATTTTCCAGGTTTACTTCAGCATAAAGAAGGGAAAGGGAAATACATTGCTGAGTTACCTGATCCATGCCATTTGTCAGTACTTGGTACCTGTAGTTGTGCTAAAACTAATATGGAAACTAGATTGTAACACCTTTTTCATGCAGATGTCCATATTTATAGGGTGCAGTACTATCACCAAAGATTGAACTGAACAGCATAATAATAGCATCCCAACTATATGGAGTCAGCTACATGAATCCTGTTTTGCCATTCTGTTATATTTGATGCTATATCCATTGTTAAATTATGGGTGATTAAATCATTTCTTACTACCACCCTGCCCTTTTTGGTCTACCCCTAGCCCTTCTACCCCCTTCAACCTGCAACAAATCACTTCTTACAGGTGCATAGCATAATGATAGTAATAGTAAATATGGACCCATACTAATTACATGCATGATCTGAGCATGTTTCTAGAATTTACTTCTGCTGGGACTTGCTAGGATTTACATTTCTTTAGTGCTTGACTTACCTGCTGATATGATTGTTTCAGGTATTCACAACTCACCATTGGATGGTACGGATATACAAACTAAAACCTCCAAAGAATAGGATCCGAGGAAAGACCAAGAAATCAAAAGCGGTATTTCCTATAAATATTTATTTTGATGTGAAGTTGTATATTTCACCTGCGTTGATGCCTTCATTTTTTCCCCCTCTGTGGCAGGGTTCCAAAACAAGTTCTACAACTAGCTCAAAAAGAGCAGGAAGGAGAAAGAACCCCTGGCATTAAGAAACACTATTGCAGTGAATCCTCTCTCAGTTCTAGTCATTCCATATACATCTGTGTGCATGACCCTCTAGAGGGATTGAGCAAAGGATTTTTTGGCCTCTTTGTACCATGTCTTGTATCATTTGTTTTCTGCATTTTAATGCTTCACAACATTGTGCAAGGAAGACCAATTTTGTGACCCTTGAACCAATTGCAGCGAAGGAATCATGAGGCAGATTAACGACAATTTTGGCTTTCTGGGAGGTGTAACATGCAACTTGTAGAGCTAACCTGTTCACAGGATTTTTATAATCTAGCTATCGGATGATTGTTTATTTACAGAAAAGTTTGTAGTGTTTTTCAGAACCGTTATTCCATTTCACGTCTGTATTCCTATTTGAAGTTTTGAACAGTGAACTCATTAGTATGGTGGGACTGTGGGACCCCTACAATAAGAATGAGAAAGGAGCGTCTGAGGTTTAGTTCAATTATCCCTATGCCCCTTTAGTCCTTACACCAATAGAAGTACTAGTATCAATGTACTACTCGGATCAGATGGACTGGTCGAACCAGTGAAGCGATAATCCACTCGACTCGGATCATCTGAGGTTCAGTTCAATTATGAGTTCTTGGCTTTGATAATCCACTCGACTACGTCTTCAATGACATCAAGGCAATGCAGTTGTTTAGGATTCAATAACTCGCCACGGTTCACATATTTAACGGATTAAATCTAAGACTGATCCTGACGCACAAAATTGATTTGGCAAAATAGAAAATTGAAAGGACCAAAGATGGCTGTTGGGAGTCAAGAAAGGATACCAGTCTATGGCAAAGACCGTGATGCTAAAATACATCCGGCCACGATGGTTTTATCTGAAGCTATTCTTCTAGGCTGGATTAGACCAACTCTGACTAATCCTGATCCTCTAAATATGTCATAACAATTTAACAAAGTAGCAAGTTGGCTCTTTCTCCACCGCGACCAAACTCTAAAAATGCTATTGAACTATTCGTTTAATGATTGTTACCAACTTGCACATCACCTTCGACACGGATGGAGGGGATGAATAACTAATTACTTTAAAAATGCACCAAACATTTGCTAGTAGAGTGAGGCTTCTAAAGGTTCGATACAAAAATATATATTGCGGATTAAAACTTAATTAATGAAACACCTCTCCTCTATATTACACAACAACAAAGTCCAACCTTCAGGTGAGTATCCAACAACTGACATCCAAACACAATACTACTATTTAAATCAACAGAATAATAATAATAACAAACCTTTCCGGCTCTCTTTAGTTTTTCCTGGCAATCTAGCTTATCATTTTCCTTTTGAGGGACAGTAGCCTTCTGCGTTCAAGACAACGGGGAAGTGGAACAAAAACAAATACAATAAGAAAACTCACCAAGTTAAATTAATGCTTCTATGCTTCTAAGTTTCAGGCTAAGACAGCAGTAAACCTTGTAGATTCTAGCTTTAGATGATCCAAAAGAATGATAATGAATATCTACCCTCCTCGAGCCCCCAACCTCAAAAACTACCAAGCCTTCATCTTGGAACCTCTTATGTCATCTGACGAATCCACTAATCCCATTAACTCAATCACAAGCAGACTGTAGGCTAGAGTGGATAAAAAGTAGGGGCTCCAAACAATACAAGTCCACAATAAATATACTATACAAGAGTAGTATGTGCTTCCTGAATAGAGCAACCCCTCCCAGCTCCCAGACAAAGTAAAGTATAATGAACTTCTCCTCTTGTCTGAGTAACATAGTAAATACAGACAAAACCATAGAGACGTTCTGCCAAAGCAATTCACACAGAACTGCATAGCACAGCTGCACCACACCTCAAAGTCCTCAAAGTTTTTTGGGTAAGCTATAGGTCTTCTTAAGGAACTTTGTTGCTGCTTCATCATTTCGATAGCACAAGACACGCAAGAGAGTATTTGGCTCAGTTGGACTCCATTGACCTGAAGTTGGGGGTAGCGGGAGCCTGGATTTGGCAGAAGAGCCATATGTTTCCAGTGTCACACGTTTGAAGCGCTCAATGAGTCTCTCTGTTTCAGTACGGAAAAGTGGAAGGATACCTACTGCTGTTTTTGAAAATTTAGCTATCAAATCATCTGGTAGCCCATCCCCATTGGACCAGAACAAATCTTTAAGAGCTTTGAAATCATCATCAATTATTTGAAAATCTCTCAAGGCAAATGCACGAGAAGGGCCTCCTGCAAGAAGCACCAACAAGAAACCCTCAAATGAAGCTTTCATTATTTCAGTAATCACACGGGTGCGGACCCTGTTATGAACTGTTTCTGCTATGATCTCTAAGTTCTGTTCAAGTTCCTGAAGCAGAGTTCCAATCCTTGAGGATGCTGGTTCCCCAACATATAGACCATCCCACAGAACATGACTTAGATCATGGAAGACAATCTTACAAGCTGTTCCTTCACATAGTTGGTGAATCCCTTCCTGACAAGCGGCTTCTGAGAGCTCAAACTTTTTCCCTAACCCATTTGAGAAGTCATCTGCATGTGCAGATTCACAATTTCTCAGATAAGTAACTATCCTTTTCTCCAAGACCTCCAATTCTGTCCTGATGTGCTGCAGAGTATTCATACGGACACATAACTGTGGTACTCCAAAGCTGTCTCCGTTCATTGTGCCAACCTGAGACTTCCGCTTCTGAGTTCCTTGGGACTTCTCTTTCTTCTTCCACACACCTTGGAACTTTGATCCTGTAGTACATCTGGTTAATGCCGGCATGGTGGGAATGAAAGTGTTTCGCGTCCCTATACATCACAGAAAGGGATAAAGTTAGTAATAAGATTAAGAATCAGAAAGCCATTTATAAATTTCAGTTTTGCAAGAATTTACCACAGCCAGATTTTGTTTTGGATACATAATGCTGAAGACATCTATCAAGGCCAGCCATTAAATCAGGAAGCAATGCAGGATGCATTGGTATTGGTAGCTGAAAGAATGCATCTAAAATCTCATCTATAATCCGTAGGATTTCAATGGAAGATGGAGCAAATCTCTCTTTATTTGCCCTTGGGTTCCAGACCTACAATAACAAGATTGACAAGGATATATTGATGAGAGAAAGAAAATATGAGCAACTATTTAATAGGGTAAATGTAATGAATGATTAACAGATATATTATGGGAGTTTGTAGATGCATCCATGCAGAGATGCACATGCATGTATGGTGCATGAGCACTGATGGTGGAAATGCATTTGTTGCATTTGTAGTAATAAGGCAGCCATGAATTGATATTAGGCTCTTTTAAACTGGGAGATTGCTGGTACAGTAGATCTTAAGGATCAGGTTCAATAAAGAAAAATATACATAAATTAATAAATACACTTCTAAAAAGGAATCTCTGAAACCAAGTAGCAAATTTCAAATAAATCCGAAGACTCCATAGCAAGACCTATGGAAAAGGACCAAAACAGAAGAAAAAAATTTATTTTTGATAATTGAAATAATGTTGTTAATCAACAATAGACAATAGTACAAAGTCCCCAAGGAAAGGCACGATTTGCAACCTCTCCGGGCTAGTTAAATACAGATTTCCAAATTAATAACAACTTACAGAGAAGCACAAAAAAAGATCTTCCCTAGAAACCTCCCGTTTGGCTAAAGCATCAGCCAAAGAATTAGCAGACCTACTAACCCATTTTACCTCAACTCTCGTATTGTGGTTAACCACTTTACTTTTTTTATGAGATCTTTGTAGCCCCAAATGGTGGTATCCAAGTTTAGGAGCCACCTTGTTACCACCTAAGGGTCCCCTTCAACTAGGAGATGCTCCACCCCAAGCTAGTTGGCGATCTGAATTCCATGTACTACAGCAAGGATTTCTGCCCTTGTGGARTCCCCCACTCCCACCGGTCCTGAGAATAGGGAAATTATGTTGCTGTCCTTATTTATCAGGATACCCCCTATACCTGAAGGCCTGGGGTTGCCTTGGCTGCTTCCATCAAAGTTCAGCTTGATGACACCTTCCAAAGGTGGAACCCATTCTGACAGAATTCTTTCCTTCTTTGTTGAAGTGTTAGCTATTACTAGCTAATTCCTCCACAAGTCATCAAAGGAGAAGTCATAAAGAATATCCACAGTTTTTAACCAATGGATTGCTCTTTTTAGGATACAATCCTTCATTTCATCTAACCCTCTTTCCTTCTCTAAGAAAATTCTTGCATTCCTTTCCTCCCAAAGAGTCCACAGAGTAGCTGCCCTGACACATTTCCACATGACAATACCTCTTCTAGTGTGCCAAACAAAGACAGATGGGTTGAATAACGAGCTTAAATCAGAAGGCATAGACTACCTACCTCCAAATAAACAAAGGCTCCACCTCCATATGGCTGTAGCAAAGGAACAGGAGATCAACAAATGGAAACAGTCCTGATTCTCGGCCTTACACAAGGAACACCAATTTGGGTAAAGACAAAGAGGGGGTTTCTTTTTCTGTAAGTTTTCCAAAGTATTGATTTTCCCATAGAAGACTTCCCAACAGAATACAGCAATTTTAGGGGGAATAGGTCGCGCCCAGACTTCTTTGACAGGGAATCCTTGGGATATGGGATTAGAACTGAAGGATTTTAGAAAAGAAGAGCAAATAAAAATACCTTTTGGAAGAGGAGTCCAAACCCTTTGATCAGAAGAAGTGGGGTCCAAGCAAATGGATTCTAGTAAATGATTAGCTCAATAACACAACTCGATTCACCATCCCTTAACCCTCTACGAAACCCAAAGTCCCAGTTTAAAGATAAGGGGTTTAACGGGCTCGGGAGAAAAGTTGCAATTGGCTCATGTTTGTGAAGGGAAAGGGAATAGAGCGAGGGGAAACAATCTTTGAGGGGTTGAGTACCCACCCWAATATCCTCCCAGAACAGAATAGCATTACCAGAACAAGCATCATACATGATGAATCTAAGGAAGCAAGGGAGAATACCATGTATTTCTCATCCTTCTTAATACAAGATATTTTTCATCAAATAATATTTGTTTCCTAATTCTAAAATCATAAAACATCATTTTTATACAAGGGTAAAAAATTTGATTCCCTTTTTATTGATAAAAAAATCAATTCCTTTTTGCTAGTGTTTCCTCAATAAAACTCCTCAAAAGATATGCTGCAATTCCCCTAATGTTTCTTTTTCCTTATTCTAAAACAACTTACAAGAAAGATAGAAAAAGGGACTTTCTGAGAAGGATGTAATAACTTATTCCTGGTTATTTGCTGCCTAAGTTCTGTTCTTATTGTGCATAATTCACAATCTTTACTGTTGACCATACTTGATGGTACTTCCATCATTCTCAAAACTTATAACAATTGTCCGTTTCTATGAATTCACTGAAAATTTTACCAATAAATGCCCCAAAGTATCATTTAAGGTGAGAAAATCATTTATTATGGACCCAAGATATCAACCAAGTCTTATGATTTCAAATGACCACAACAGAAAGGAAAATATCAATCATGCCAATAGTAGGATGATTAAATAATTTGAAAAAATTGAACACAAGGTAAATTGTGGAATCATAATTTTGAATTAGAGACTAATCTCAACTATAAGATCCACCAGTATGAGGAAGTTGGATGAAGCAGAGAAAGAAGCCAGACTTCACGTACCTCTTGCTGTAAATTCCTGTCAACCCATTCCTTCAGGCTGTCTACTCTTGTCCTTATCCATACCTTCACCAGATTGGCAATTGCAGTTTCAGCCTCATAAGGAGGCATCTCACGGATTATTGCCTTGCCACCATCGTCACTGTCCACGGAATCTTCAACAGCAATCTGCACAAGATCTTTCTCCAATTTGTCTGCTGCTCTCAACACTTGAACAGCATCAGGTGTCAGCTCTGAAATACCTGAAATGAATTGCTTCAGCTCATTTCCATAGCAAGCATGTAGGGTGGCAACTGCAACGCCTGCTGCAAGAGGATGCCATCTCTTCAGGATCGGACTGAATACTGCCTTCTCATTAGATGCCAGCTCACCAATATCTTTTGCAAGGATAGACAGGAGAGGAAGTGCATTTGGCATGTTTTTTGATGACCGCCTACATGAGTCTGCCTTCTCCATTCTCTGTCTTAAGACAGACCAAACAGATCAACAAATCATAAAACAGACAAGTCCAATTTCAACATATCTAACAAAAGGATGATGTAGCCAATCTAGACTATCCATCAGATAGGAAACTTAAACCCTCTGTTGTTTCACTCAACCAGTCCATTCATCCCTATGCATCACCTCATATTGGAGCTTTCAAAAAGGTATATCACCTATCCAAATTTCAAAGTTTCCACTCATTTAATTTTAACATTTCTAACAAAAGAGTCTTACTCTGGAAATGTAGCAAGGCCTTTTGTGTGTGTGTGTGTATGCGTGTGTGAGGGGGAGAGAGAGAGAGACCTGACATCCCATTCATTAAACGGGACACCAAATTAGTAATGGTTGCCTTCTAGATGGAAATACCCAAATACAGGAGGCTCTCGCCTGATCATTAACATTATTTAATTTAGACAGTAGCATTTCAGTTAGCAATCAGATGGTTAAAATCATCTGTTTTCAGTTACTGACTAAATTGGTGAAATCCTCCAGTCAGCAAAGTCTTTGGACCTTTTCTTATACTAAATAAATAGCTTAATTAATAGATTGATGTGTCAGCGTTGCATATATAGTACAACCAATAGGAATGTTTTGGTTAGCCAATATTTGCTAAGTAAAAAGATGCACCAGAAAACATGAACTTGCCTGGGCAAAAGCAGTGCGCAGTGATGATCTTATGTAAGTATCAATTCTGTTGCGAGCCACATCAACTTCTTCTTTCCTTTTCCTTCGATACTCATGTGAGATATCTTCAACTAATATCTTGGCTGCTGATACACCCAGAGAAACAATGCTCTGCATGGAATCAATATTTGAATGATTAAATGTGTCATGGTAAGCAAGAAGTCTTTTTTCAGCCCAACCCAATATCGAACTCAAAATTGAACTCAAGATCTTGGAGTACACAGGATCCTTTGTTGCCTTTGCATCTTTTGCAACTTCTGCCAACTGATTATCAGCAGCGAACAGAAGGTCATTTTCTATTTGACCAGTTGAAACATAGCGGTGAAATAAGACCCATGAAAAGCAAAGATTATGGAGCATCTGGTTCATCCCCAGGATCACCCAAGTCTTCTTTATAAGTTCTATAACCTCATCAATCTCTTCAATAACAGCTGTCTCTTCATTTGTGTCAAAACAAGCCTCTAGAAGCATCTGGTAGAGTCGGAAATTCAATGGAGAACCGTCTGCCCAGTGGCATGTTTCAGAAACAGAACCATCAAATGATCTGCAAGCAAGAGACATTACAGCAGTCCGGAGGATTTGCATTGACTCATTGTTCTTCCCAGTTTCCATGGGTCTCTGTAAAGCCCCATGAATCATCTGCCGAAGTCGTTGTGCCGATGCATCTGACTTGTCTAGTGGCAGATGAGGATGCAACAGTAGTCCAGCCTCAAGAACTTTCAAGTTTCTGGTCTGCCAAGCTTCATACTCTTGTGGATCTGGAAAATCTGAAGACTTGAACTGCTGTAATAGCTCCAGTGGCAGAACCATCGACTCAATGCGCCTTCCAAGCTGTTACATGAGCATAAACAAAAACTAATGATTAAAAACAGTGAAGCTCTAACCCATGGTTGGCTACACACTCCCCCCTCCCCAAGAGATGATATTGGGAAATTCAAAGATTGGTGTGACACAAAGGGATGTTTACTGTACTACTATATTGAAGAATCAACCAGATTGGCAATGGATCAGCAACTACTCTACCATGAGCTAACAAAATGGTTTTTCATTTAACAATATTCATTGAAAGCCACCTATGCACAAGACAAATACCATGCTTAGACAATGTGGTTTTAAGAGAAATGAGGATCATCGATCTTAAAAAGATCAACCATATAAATAACACAGGAGTTTAAAAAGAACGACAGCCAGATTAATTCGTAAACCAATAATCATACAGTAACCCACAGCCTAATCCTACAAAACCCCTCAAAAGACCCCAAAGGAAACTTACACTTCGCGAACGGGAGCAAAAATGCAGCAAAGAAATCTTTTTACCTTCAAAGAAGCAACGGGAAAAAAGAAAACTGAAAAAATAAGGTCTGAAATTAATTAGGAAGATGAAAAACTAAGCAATATCTTTGCCTTGAAAATTAAAAAACATAATAAAAGAGATAATTAGCTTATTATCAACATACATCTGAAAACGGAGTATTAATAGAAGGAGAAAAAAAATTAAATCCCGAATCGGATAGCAAGTCCCATCTCTAGAAAAGAAAAAGGATAAAACCCAGAAACAGGAAAGTGGAGCTTACTTGCCCAGCAGCAATTCTCAACAAAGCCCTCCTAATTCTGGTGTCCATCTGCTCCGAAACCCTCATCTGGACCCTCATAAGCTCCCCAACAGTGACGGGTTTCTTCGACTTAGATGGACTCTCCTTCCCCGGACTCTTCTTCGAAGATCTCAACCCTAGAGCCTTCTTAACCTTACTAGCAGCAGTCGAAGTCAATGATCTCTGCAGAGAAGGCGAGGTCGAAGACGACGATAGACTAGAAGGAGAATGAGAAAGAGAGGAAACGGAAGACGGAGACCTCTCACTCCTCTCCGACTGAGGGATAAAAGTCAATGGCTTGCCACCGGAAGATCGACAAGCGCCGACGAAGATCTCGAAAGCAGTCTCTCGGAGCTCGGAATCAGTCAAACTGCAGCCCAATTCGCCAAAGGGGGAGGGCAGATCGGGGGCGGGAAGCTTGTTGTTGCTTCCCATCTCTCTCTTTGATTCTCCAAGAATTTTGTCTCTGAACAAATGCGCCATTGTGGGAGGTGAAGGTCTCCAATGGGAGGAAAAAAAACTAAACTAAATTAGAACAAAAAAAATAATAAAGGAAGCTTTTTCTTTAATCTCGCTTGTGTCTCTCCACTGTCTCTTTTGCTTTTTCCTGTTTCTCTAAACGAGAAGAGACTGTGATGATGGGTTTTGTTCTCCCTTGACTTTCAAGGGATTCATATTATGGTTTTTAGATTATAGGTGAGAAGAGTTGGGAAAAAAAAAAGAGCTGGAATTTGAAGGAGAAAGGTTGGATGAGAGAGAGAGAGAATAAATATCAATTAGGATTAAATATCGAGTTATACCAACAAATCTCAGTTTTACTTTTCCTTTCTGAGTTTTTTTCTTTTCTAACTGTGCTTGCGTGTTTGTGGAAACGGTTTTGTTTGAGAGATGGACCTGTGTACCCTTATCTTTTTCTTGTGAGTCTTGAGTGGACCTCTATTATACCCTTGAGGAGTTGGGCCGTGGATGGGCCTCTCTAACATCACTGGAATGAGAATTCAGATCTCTTTTACCATGGGTTGATGATCTAATCAGCAATAGATATCCTCCTGTGATGTCAAGGTCCAAATTCATCTTTACCTAGAGTAACTTGACTTTTTTGATGAACCCATGATAATAAATTCTAGGCTTAAAGGCAAATTAGTCTTCTAATTGTAAATTGAAGCAAAAGTAAAATGATACTGTTTGGATGAGATAGAATTGCAAAAGGTAGAAGTAGAATCCGTGTAAAGTGTCTAACAATCTAGATGAAGAAAGAGGAGGATAAGAAGAAAAAATAAGAGCAGAAGATGGAGTCTTACGCGTTAATACTAGAAGCAGCCTAGAAGTAAATGCATAAATAATAAATAATTAAATAAAATGTGGGTGGGGTTTCCTTCTCGGACTTGATTGGGATATTTGTCCAAAGCACATGTGGGTTTGCTAGTCCATATCATTCCATTATCAATTCAATTGTTTAAAACTACCGAGTCCTCTCTCTTTGAGCTGGCAGAAAGTTGTTCTTCTTCTGCTTGTTTTTAAGAATGAATACTTAATAATTGATTATTTCATGTATTACAAGCTACAGCAATGGCTTCAAGGTTAATGCACCCCTCCTCTGGAATCTGGATTGCAGGTTGAAGTTAGAATTTTTGTGTAGAGGAACTTGATCAATAGATGGATTTAGAAGGGTGCAGCTCCATCAGCCATTTTCAGATTTCTCTCCAAAGGAACTAGTCTGAGGAATGGGTATTGCCGCTTTTAAGTTTTAACTTCTAATAATGGTTTTGTAAAGCTCTGTGTAGTGTAGGAATGTGGTAAGCATACATGGCTTTGGTCATTAGAGTTGGACCTGTTGAATTGAATATTTGAATCCAGAAGACAGATGCAGACAGAGAAAGACAAGTCGTATAATTTGGATTTTGGACCGACACTAGACCTCCCCTCTTTATCTTTATTGATAGATTGGTGGTATATAATATGGCAATCTCTTTGCCAGAAAAAAATAAATAAACAACTCATTATAGGGAATCCTTTAGCCCATTTTATATAGAAGAATTACATGTAATAATACAACATGAAAAAATAATTTTTGTCATGTTCAACCAACCACACTTGCTAATCATAATAGCTTATTATTCTCTTGTTGAGAGAGAGATGAGAGAGATCTCTCTCTCATGGATGTAATTCAATGTTTCTTAAGATTAACAAAGGAAAAAAAAAAAAAAAAAAAAAGAAATCAAAGAAAGACCTACAGCACATCAGATGAGTCCAAGTTATTTTTCCCTGGTTTTTGACATTGTTTGCAGGTCTAAATTGATCATCAAATGTTGAAACCAGAGGAGTAAGAAAGAACAGTAACAGAATATAAATTGGCATTAATTAAGGGTGTAAATCACAGGTTTGTTTTTATTTAATTATTTGATAATAATTGGGTTCCCCCTGTAACTCTGTAAGTGTAACCTCCTCTAGTAATTCGGCTCAAGTCAAGGTGGGCTCGCCACCTAACCTTGCCTTCAGATGATGATGATGCCCGCAAATCACGCTCGACGGACATGTTCGCAATATTGTTAAAAGGATAAATGTCATCACCACTAGACGAGTTGGTAATCAAATTAAAACAAGCTCCATCTCTCTTCTCTCTCTCTCTCTGACTCTTTTGTCAATCTCACTTGCAGCGAATGAGGAGTTTGCATTTGCTCATTTGTTGTTATTGGAATGACCAAAGCCCTAGATTCTCGACCCGTCTTTCCGCCTTATCGATCCAATCAAGACCCAGTTCTTACTTCTTAGTCGGTTTGCTATTTTTGGACTTGTATTTATCGACGTACCAGGGATCGATCTCCATCCTTCACTGATGTTGGTTCTTAACTGGGGTTTTCGATCGGAAAATTTGTAAGCAGCTGTTGACGCTGGAGGATCTGACTAGTTCGTCTCTATGAGTCTTGAAGCCCGAGCTTCTACGGGAGCATGCCATAATCATCTTCGGTTGCTTAACCTGAATCTTCAGCAGACGCAGAGGGTTCTTGATAAATTAGACGAAGTGGGTTTGGAATTGGACGAAATCGAGATTCGGGAACGATGCGAACTCTGAGGTTGGAAATTGGATATCGGAACTTAACCAAAGTTTGTAACCTTGTCTACGACGGAGGTGGAAAAAATGGAAATTGTTGGGATTATTCCATTCCAAAATGTAACACCTTTGGATTCCACGAGGTGTGATAAGGTGACGGATCAAAGCTTTTGGATCTGCGATTTAGTTGCAGGTTTTGGATTACCAATTGGCGCTTGGCTTCATTGGCCACATGGGCTTGATCGAGAACCTGAAAGAAATCATGGATTGTGGAGTGTCACTGTTGCAGCAAATGTACTTCCTAGAAGAATTCAACTTGGTTCCAGAGTCATTGATGCAGGATCAGGAAGCGTAGCCATTGCCGCTATCCGCACTTCCAGAGCGACTGGTTGTGACAGGTTATGAAAATGCAGACAATACAGCCTTTTGTGGTGTTTTAAGTCGGTCAGCTCTCAGATTTACATTTCTCAGCCAATTGATCCAAGACAATTTGCTTTGAGTTACTACTGACTTGTTCTTCAGTCACAATGTAGACATGAGAATTGAGAGATGCTTCAAATCCTGCGGGTGGCTCAGACTTCAGGAATCAGGACCCACTGGAATGCAAGAGCCAAGAAATTATTTTTGAGAAGGAAGCATTGGGTTTAATAGACTTATGAACTCCTATAATATGTTCTCTGTTGTTTGGCAGAGAAGGGGACAATGATAGAAGGACAACAGAAGAGATTCAGAGACTTATTTGAAATAAAATCTATAATGTGACAGACTGACAGCCAAATATGACCTAGTTGAGAAAACCCACTACAGCACTCAAGATCAAGGCCAAGGAGAGTGTGTATCACTGGCTCCTATGCCGGGCTGCTATTGCTTTTTGGCCAATTCTAGTCGAGCTGGCCCTCCTGTGAATAGAAAAGCCAAGAAGGAGAAGAGCAGAGTCCACTGCCAAAACAAGTTTGTTCTGTGAGGATCGATAAGCTTAAGCTGACTTTCTCAGTTTAACCAACAAATGTAGCTTCACATTCAGAGCCACCATATCTTATAAGGTACAATCAGAAGATGTCAAAACCATAGAGAGCTAGAGACCACAATCCATCCCATAGCCTGATAAGTTCCTATTGACTGGTGAGTGGTGAGCCCCAAGTGAAAATCAAACAAAGTTTGAGTTCATTTTGAGCCATCTGATGACCTGAATCTTGGAACATGCTTAAAAGTTTAAAGCAAAGGAGAGAAAGTAAACAACTAGACTTTTAACGTGTTTTACAATAGGAATTAGATCCTAACCTCGTAACAGATTGGATCATGTATCCCATGTATTCCCTCAAAAGGAAAACTGATCTGCCACAGCCAGGAAAAAACTAAAAAGCAATTGTACAGCTCAGATGTATTTCTTGTTACTTTCTCTCGCTTTCTTAGCACTGGTTTTACGTAGTATTATTGTAGCACCTTGTTTTTTAGAACCAATAAACGGAATATCTATCTTTTAAGTCTTGAGACTATAGACTCTACAGACACCATACATGCTGGAAAGTGGAAACCTTGGCAATTTACAGAAAGCTGGGTTTTCTCGACATAGAATTGATTCTTCATAAGATGGGTTAGGGGAAAAAAGTTGGGTTTGTCTGTTAATGGTTGATAGATTCTTGCTCCTGCATTTGGGTTGATCAGCAGCCTCATGGAGGGCCATCTTTTTTTTTTCGGTAAAAAAGAGGACAATCTATATATAGAATCATATGAACACTGAGATAACAATAACATACGCATCTGTGGCGACTGGGATTCCTGTATAAATAGATTTGACTATTGATTATTCTCACTCTGTAATGGGAAAAATGCTAACCCAGTTAGAATGACAGTCGATCATGAAAACGAGGCTTAAAGGTATGATAATATGGTACATGTGACAAGTGCTTGGGGTTATCTCTGGGAGGTTGTTGGAATAGGAAGGCTGATTATTAGTATACAGCGAAAGCTGAAAGTACTCAGGGTCCGTTTGGTTTATAGTTGGAATCGGAATCAAAATTCTCCAGAATCAGAATCGGAATGATCCATTCCCATAGTCTATTTGGTTCAGACAAGAATGGGAATGGGAATTAAAATCAGCATGAATGGAATTTCATTCTCAAGGGAGGGTCTGGGAATGGCCATTCCCTCAAATGGGAGAATGTCATTTCAGAAGGAATGGGAATAGATTTCCGATTCCGCCCAACCAAACAGTTGGAATTAAAATAAACCCATTCCGATTCCGATTCCAGACCCCTATTCCTGCAAACCAAACGAACCCTCAAATGTTAATAGAAAACAAATCAGGGGAATGGTCAATCAAACAACAACATTACTGTTTTAACTTTCACCCACTCTATAATTCATATAAAATGTGTTTTCTTGAGGTTTTGAGGATGCAAATCAGCTCAAATTTTCTTTCTTGCAACCATTGCCCTGATTGCAGGTAAGGGATAATGTCATTCCGGAGAAGGAAAGAGGTTAAGAGGGGCAAGGCAGAGGCCATGTCCATGTGTAGATGTACGATTAAGTGCATAAAACAAAATGTGCATATTTTGTAGGGTCGAGCATGTCATCACTGAGTACAGGGGAACATACACGGTCTGAAACATCCAACCATTGATCAACAAGTTGAAATCTGCAACCGAAATTGAAAGGCTAATGAGGCAAAGTTTAAGACCTTATTGTTAGTTCTTTCACAAATATCCACACCCCTTCTCACGCAAACAACAGGCGAACATGGCATTGTAACACATGTGACATGGCTCTTCAATGGCCATTTTGAGTGGGGCATAGAATGCATATCATTATCATCACCATTTATGCTTGCAATAAAAACTAGGGCACATAAAAACCCTGGTTGTTGGAGTCTGCAACGCGCCACAACATGCTTAAATCTCTGTGTATGCTGCACCAAATTCTGCAATTTAGCATAGACTCGTCAGACAGGCTGAGTTGAATGACCTATTGCTTTGCATTTTAGTGGGTGTTTGGCATAGAGAACAGTGCCACGTAGGCACTACATCAGATAAAGCAGTGCTTCAAGCAATGTTTTATATCATTTTTCTAAAAAAAAACAAAAAAAAAACATTGTTCCAAAATACACCTTGAAAATCGAAAAAATATGATCAAGAGAAACGCCAAAGCATTACTACCAACAGAATGTTGAATAATATAGACCATTGAAAATGTTGCCACCAGCAATGATACCAAACAAAACCAGCACTGTTTTCTCAGCCAAAATAGCAGCCCGATTCCAAACAAAAATATAGGCACCATTTTCTTATAACTCCATATGCCCAGCGATGTTCTCAGAACCGATGCTAAATATCTACTATCCAATAGATATTTGAAGAAGCTCAGCTCCTTAATAACCGAAGTTGAGTTACATCTTATTATTTAACCACTTTATTGATCCATTTTACCTAAAAAAGAAAGAAAACACCCACTTCAGCCTACATCAAACGAACCTGAATCCTTCATCATCATGATCCCACCTGGAAAGCCTTTGGCTATTTGGGGGAAAAAAGTCGGGGGCCCCCTGCAAGATTTATTATTCAGTCTTAACGGTATAAACGAGCATTCGAAAGATTTCAGCCCAAGAATGAAGACCCTCGAGTCCTTGCAAGGATCTCTGCAGCCAACAATGTAAATTATCTACTATCCGATAGCTGGTGAAGATAAGTCCGAACTTAGTTTTCTACCCTCGTCAGACTAGCACAAATCATGCAGCACTCTGGCTGGTATTAAGATTTAGGGCTTCTAAAGATTTAACTTCGAAAGGGTTCCTTAATATGCACTCTGGATGGTATTAGGATTTAGGGCTTCTAAAAATTTAACTTCGAAAGGGTTCCTTAATATGCCCACCAAAAACTAGAAAAATGTTTAAAACAGGTAACCAACAATTGATGGCTGCTTCTAAATAAGCCTAGCCGCCAAAACCCATCTAAGGGATGCAAATGAAATGTTAAACACAAAGGGAAGACAATGAACACAATTTCTCTCATAATACTCAAAAATAATAGTATCATTGCAGTTTACTGCAGTCGATACATGCCGAACTCCAGCAATCTAAACTGGCCGGAATTTCTCCTACTCTCTCCACAATGAATTTACAAACAGAACCAAGCCCATGCTTTCAGTGGTGGATTTGAAGAAGATATCCATCCTGCCACCCATTGAGATGGCGGATCTTATTCAACCTTCTGTAATTCATCATGCCCCAGCTCAGTAACCATATCCTGATACACACAACAGAAGTGGCATAATGTTAAGCGACCTAGGCCAGAAGAGAGAAAATCTAATGCACTTGAAATTCAAACTATGGAGAAACAAGAAGTCTAAGGACAGGTAAATTAGGTCGTCAAATCCAAAACCTGAATTGTCCATAGGGTTTCCAGCAGGCACCGGTTCAGGCTCCTTGATGTCAACAACCACAACATCGGACGTGAGGAAGGTCCTTGCCACAGAGGCTGCATGCTCCAAGCAACATCTCACCACCTGAATTGGGAAAAATAAAAGCTCATTACATGAGCTACCATCTCAGAACATATGAACACTCGATTTGATTATGCTGACTCTACAAACATTAACACTTAAACAGCATGGTCCCAACCCCCAACCTGCACAAAGATGCTGCAGATCTATGGGAAGTTACTACAACTTCACAAATCTGTTATGTCTTAAATTGTTTGGCTCAGGCAAGAACCACTATACAAACCTCCTGGCAAAATTTTACTTCCTGCCTAGCTCTCACCTTATTATTGTCACAGTACAAATAACATTGAGATCACATTACTTTGGGAGTGTAGGTAAGTGTCATGTCTACACTCGTATAAATTGTGTCCAAAACATGAAATGAGGATGAATAGCCCATCCACGTGTCCTGGAAATAGAGCTCAACACAGGAAAGCAACTTACCTTGGTGGGGTCAATTATTCCAGCTGCCATCAAGTCCTCGTATTTTCCAGTTGCAGCATTATAACCATATTTTGGATTGTCACTGGATAACACCTGAAGAAAATGGTGCATCATAGTTAGATGATTATGATTGCTACTAAAAAAGGGCAGCCCAGTGCACAAGGTTCCTGCCAATGTGGGGTCTGGGGAACCCAACCGTTGTGCCAAGACCCACACCCTCGTTATGATTGCTAATAAAACAAGAAAGTTAAAATGCATACACTATGCCAGCCCAAATGGGCTATGTATGAGCAAATACCTTCTCAACGACAACACTTCCATTAACACCAGCATTCTTGGCAATTAACTTCAGAGGGTAGCTCAAAGCCCTTTTAACAATGTCTGCACCTACCTGCCAACAATCCGTGGTAACCTAGTCAGAGTCTTTCCAAGACACCCATTAACATTAGTTCCTTAAAGAGTTAATATGAATCACCTTTTGCTCATCATTTTCGAGGCTGTCCTTTATGGCATCAACCTTTGCCGCAAGTCTCAACAGGGTGCACCCACCACCAACTACAATGCCCTCCTCAACAGCTGCCTAAGAAACATAACAAGTATTTCTAGACTTAGTTCCGGTAGCAGCAGGCAAAAGAAGAAAATGCCCTTTTGTAGAAAAAAATAAATAAAATCTGGTTTGCTCAAGAGTCACAGTCCAAAAGATACCTTTGTTGCATTAAGAGCATCTTCCACTCTCAATTTTTTCTCCTTAAGTTCTGTTTCTGTTTGTGCTCCAACCTATCCATGTTCATCACAAACATTAATAAACACAAATATCTAAAATTTTCACATGACCAACTGAAAGCCCCATGCATGTTTGAGAAATCTACCTGAATGACAGCAACACCACCAGAGAGTTTTGCGATTCTTTCATTGAGCTTCTCTTTCTCATAATCTTGTTCTGCAGCCTGCATTGACCATCACAATGTAAAAGATATTGGACAACTACAAGCAGCAAATACCAGAAAAGAAGATTGAAATTCTATAAATTCACCTCAATGAGGTTACGGATCTGAGCAACTCGCTTATTTACTGCTTCCTGTGTACTTCCATCACCAACAATTGTAGTGGCATCCTTGGTGAGAACCACCTTGGCAGCATGACCCAAGACTTCCTTCTCAGCTTTGTCGAGGGATAATCCAACCTCATCTCTAATTACAGTTGCTGAATCAAAGAAAAAATGTTAGAACCCAGAACAAATATATAAAGGGACAAATATATCTTCCATTCTCCTACAATGACTAAAAGTGCAAAAAAAAACAAATCTATAATTTCCAAATATAAGAACTAACCTCCAGTCAGAATGGCAATGTCATCAAGGTACTGGCTCTTTCGCTCTCCAAATCCAGGAGCTTTTAGTGCAGCAATCTTCAATGCCCCTCTGAGTTTGTTCACAACAAGAGTAGCAAGTGCTTCCTGTTCAATATCTTCAGCAATGATCAGAATTGGGTATCCCCCCCTTATGGCATCTTCCAGAACATTGATGAGATCCCTTGCATTTGTGATCTTCTTGTCAACAAGAAGCAACTGCATGAACAATGCACCACCATAAGTCAGGTGCCTATACACAAGTAGGTCTACAAAGTAAAAATCTCCACCAAAAGAGTAAACATTATGAGGACTGTGACACGACAACATACCTTGCAGTTTTCATATTCAACTGCCATTTTCTCACTGTCCGTGACAAAGTAGGGGGAGATGTAGCCTCGGTCAAATTGCATTCCTTCAACAACATAGAGGCTATTCTCAGCACTTTTTCCTTCTTCAAGAGTGACAACACCCTTTCTGCCCACTTTACTCATGGCTTCTGCTATCATATTTCCTACTTCATAGTTATTTCCTGCACTAACTGCAGCTACATCTGCTAGTTCACTATCTTCAACCTGCAAAACAATATCATATGCAATCAACCTTATATTTAAAAATCCAGGAAATTTTTCAAAAGCCTACTAAACAGCCTTCAGGAAACCCATTTAGAAAATAATGATCATAATCATAAATACTAATAAAATTTGAACATAATCTACTATTTTGTTCACTGAGACAACAAAAGAAAAAAGAGGTCTCTATGCACAATGCCAACTACATTGACTGAAAGTGACCATCTCAGTCTACCTCCTTTGACATTAACTTGAGCTCAGCAACAAGAGCTTTGGTAGTCTTCTCAATTCCTCGAGTGATTTGAACAGGGTTAGCACCAGCTGCCACAACCTGGTTGAAACAACCCATTGTTAATTATTTAGAAAGAAATACTTTCAAAGCTCCCAAAGCAAGCAAAGCAAAAGGAACGTCTGCCAAACCTTGACACCTTCAGCAATCAGACCTTGCGCAAGAACAACAGATGTAGTTGTACCATCCCCAGCCAGATCATTGGTCTTTGCAGCAGCTTGTCTCACCAACTTGGCTCCAATGTTCTCAACAGGATCCTCTAACTCAACCTATAAGACCAACATGAAGGAACAATGGCATTCAGCAAGCATTAAAAGAAGGATTCATTAGACATTAAAAAGAATGTGACAATAAATCAGACCTCCTTGGCCACGGTAACACCATCATTAACAATTTTGGGGGAGCCATACTTGCTCTCCAGAACAACATTCCTGCCCTTGGGGCCAAGAGTGACCCCAACCAGGTCTGCAAGCTTGTTAACACCAGTCTGCAACGAACAAAAAGAGGAACTTACAAATTTGTAAAGCACAACATAATTTTTTCTCTGAGAGCCAAACTGAACTCGCATTCAAAATCTCACTTGGAGTTTCTTAATGGCTGATCCATCCTTGTTGAAATACAACTCCTTAGCCATTGCCCTTATCTTGGGGAAACATCTTCTTGAAAGGATCACATTGTGTCTCCTGCCACTAAAGGAACTGGAAGAAATGGAAGCAAAAGAAGATAGATTCTCGGAAGAGCTAGAAAACTTCTTGTCCATTGCACGGCTGCCAGCAACCGCCAGGGAACCAACAGAAGACATGGTGGCAATAGTCGACGCCATTTACTTTAACAAACCTGAAAGTCAGCAACATTATTTATCTTAGAAAGCCCACCCAGAGGAATATTTACACAACATGCACGATGCTAGTGCTACAACAAATGAATACAGTAAGAATTATCAAAAAAAAAACAAATGAATACAGCAAGGCAGTAATCATGAAAATGAAAGAAACATTGATTCCAATCTAAAAATGGCAATATAACTTTTGATTTCGCTGGTTGCTTATACCCAAATCAAGTTTCTCATCAATTACCCACAGCACCGGTAAGTCATTCATTATTTGGGTTTTTCTCCTTTTTGGGGGGATGGTTAACTATGCTTTTAATTATCACTAGTGCACTCTACCAGTCTACCGCAATTAATAGTTCTCAAAAAAACAAGAGCAAGTTCCAATGCATGCTGGGCAATTCTTTCAAGTCTAGACTCTAGAAAGCAGAAGGCATTTTCTTCCCTCCACCCTGTGTGGTCTTCGCGTCTGCCCAAAAGGATTTTCTTCTCTCCACCCCCAGCCCCCACCATGCTATCGATTGAAGATTCCAGTAACATCAATGCAGGAAACTCACTTTTCCGAACTTACGTTGGCACTTCTTAGTTAATAGAGAACTCTTTAGAAACTCAAAGTTAATTAGTTTGCATAATTATCGATCCATAATAAAAGACGGTGTCAAATTGCAAAGTTATCCATTATAATGGACGTAACCGCTTTCAAAGTAAACATAGAGACAATGAAAGAAGACAGGTAGATGAAATATCTCCTATGGACCTCAACTGAAATACCCTCCTTTTCTCCTTTCTTTTTCTGAAGGCTCCTTTTCTCCATTTAAACTAAATTCTAATTCACACGAAACATCAGATTCGATAATGAGAAAGAAGAAAATTGAAACTTTAGCGCAAAGAATGCTATAACAATAACCGTTGAAACCAATCCTCAGCCGGAAATTAAACCAAGTAACCAACAATATTCCGTAACTTTGTCCTTGTATATGGTAAAAGCATTCAAGAACTCCCCAATCTAATTAGAACTTAGCTCTAGAGAACAAAACAATAATACTCAAGTAGAACAGGCTCGCGAAAACCCTAAGTCCGCTTGATAATTTGTACAGTTGACGAAAAACACACAGAAACAGAAAACCAGGAAGCTCACCTGATAATCGCTTTTGAGGAGCTAGGGTTTTGCAGCGGCGGGTGGATAAGTAGGGTAGGAGTTTAGCCTTGCGGAACTCCGGCAATTCAGAAATGTAAGGAGATAAGATGGATTTAATAAAATGGTAAGCAGCTCTGGACAGATGTGCTTACATGAGAACGATTTTTTAACCGTCGGATTGGAGTTCCTTTGTTCACCGTTTGTGAAACTTGTATACACGTCTGTTCCATGGATTCCAATCTGAAGGCCAAACACTCGTTCTTTTGTAAGCACGTGCTTTGTAAATCAGTTTGTTTTCTCTTGAAGCTTCGGAATAATCTGGGCCGTTGGACTGAAAAATAGATATCCTTCTGTTTGGCATGCATATATGGAACAATCTAGAACATTTATTTTCTCCTCTATAAGAGACGGATATTCTAGAGTTGCAAGAGGGACTATAGAACCGTACTTTGAGTCGGACCGCCTGTGGGCTGGCAGGGAACGTGTTATATACACAGCCCGCCGGTTACAGTGAATAAGGCCTTGTTTGGCATATCTTTTTGTGTGGATTATCGGCTTTTTAGAAGCATGGCAACTTGCATTTTGATATTTTTTTATTTGGTTGGGAAAAGATTCATTTCAAACATTAACTAAATGGTCTTTAAATTGTTAAGATCTTGATATAAAAGCTCACATCGTCTTTAAAATATTAGACCATAAGATCTTTCAAAAGATACTTAGTTACAACATAATCAAAATATACTCCTCACAGAGCGCACCCTACTGACCTCACAACCCCATCCCACCTTGTATTGGAAATATCTTCTTATGTGAGGTGCACTCTGTGAGGAGTATAGGCTATGTTGGGCCTATAGGTCCAGCGTGGCATATACAAGAAAATGGCTTGGGCGGACAAGTTTGGATTCGCTCATTGCTAAGTGTGATTCATGTGGACCTCACAATACATTTCAGCCGTGCATTGAAAACACCTCCCCATCAATAAAAATTTATAATTACAAAGATATTCCATATATGAATAATTGTGTACATTAAAATTCATATTAAATGAATTTTTAACATTTTTTTGAACTTATTGTCTATCTTGTTAAGTTTTTTTGTTGAAATTCTTGTATTTTTTTATTTAGAACATAAAAAAGCAAATAAGTGAATAAAAAAAGTTAAAAAATTACAGGTCCATGGGTATGACCAACCAATCATGACATGAGCCCACTTAGGACTCGGGCCTTGGTTGTGTCTCTTAAGTCTTAACAAATTCATGCCAAGCAAGCACAACCTTAAGTCGTGATCATTTTATATTACATAAAATGCAACACATTTTATGCATATATTATATGTTTTAATATATGTATATATATAGTTGGTGTCACATCACATGGCTTCTACTTTCTGTTATGGGCACACCATCCGGCAGCGCACTGCGGAGCAGTCATAGGCAGCAGCACGCACGGCAGCAGGTACCGCCTGGCAGCGCCGCACAGTAGCACGCACCGATAGCGTGCAACGCGCACCGCCAGGCAGCA